CAGTACCAGTTATAACCTTTCTGCACAGCAGTTTTTCACAATAAATCAAAAGCCTTAGAAATGTTTACAGGAGACCACCCCATCCCTAAGAAGTGTTGTGAAGCAGAGGAACAGACAAATGCACAAGACGATGGCTGCTGTCCCCTTATTCAATGCAGAGGAAAGCTGCCAGCAAGGCACACGGTCAAAAATGAACCTTCAGCTCCGCGGTGCTCGGCGGTGGTCCTCTTGGCATTCAGGAGGGGTGGCCTTTTCTTTGCCCGGAATCATCTGGTAATTTTCAGGATGTCAAGCGTCTCAACCCTCTACCCATTTTAGTGCCAGTGGAACTATTCTGACAATAACTACCCCTTCCAAACATATATTTCCAAATGCTCCCTAGTGGTGGGTGGGACCACTCCAGGTAAGACACTACTGAGGAGGACAGGCAACCATTCCAAAGGGTAGTCTGGATCTAAATACACGGATACCAAAAGCTGTTCACAATACACGAAGTGGAACAAAAGTCAGGGTAAGGGGCGCTTGGGTGGCTCAGTCATTAAGCCTCGGCCTTCGGCTCAGGTCATGATCACAGAGTCCTGGGATAGAGCCCAGCATCCACTCCCTGCTCAGCAGGGAGTCTGCTTCTTCCTCTCCCACTCCCCCTGCTTGTGTTCCCTCTCTCTCTGTGTCTCTCCCTGTCAAATAAATAAATAAAATCTTAAAAAAAAAAAAAAAAAAGTCGGGGTAAGTGAACAGCATCATCATGTTTTTGTCCAAAACAAAATGGAAAGTTCTCCTATTACAAAGCTACTTGCTACATGCATACAGTAAAGGTTGTAGGATAATAGTTCTTGACTGGTGGAATTATGGGTGATTTTGAGCCACACTTTCTTAGGTGTGTTTTCTTTCCTTTCTACGTATTTTCAATGAGCCAGTTTTCTCTACACTAAAGGAGAAAGCGATTTGTGTTTTGGAGAACAAAGGGGACGTCCCCACCACTGCCAGCTCCTCACATCTGTCCCATCCTTCTTTTGACTTAACTGAGCACAGCGGGGTCTGTTCGCAGAGCACCAGACTCTGCTCAAGCAGAGGGACCACCATGCTTTCACGCCACCAGATACCTGACCCTGCTACAAGGGAGCAGCTATGAAACCGGACCCAGAACATGGAAGGTTCTCGAACAAATGTCTGCTGATGTGAGTCAGCCTTTTATGTCTTGACTGGGCCAGAATTTTGCTGACAGATCCTTTGGGTTTCAACATCACTTTGATTCAGTGGTTCTCAACTAGGGTGCCCAACCCACCCCCATGCCAGAGTCACGGGGCGCTGCCTGGAGATATTTGGTCACCCCAAGGTCCGAGGGAATGGGTGGTATATGCTACTGGGATCTGGTGGGTAGAAGCCAAGGAAGCTGCTAATCATCCTACACAGCTTAGGACAGCCCCAACAGCAAAGATTTATCCAGCCCAGAATTCCAACAGTACTCAGGTATGGAAACTCTGCTCACCATTTGCCTTTCTTCCAGCTTGTCAAATACCCTCCAAATTTTCTTGAAGTACCATCTACTACTGTAAACTGATCATGAGAACATCTCTAGAAGACAGGGCATTTATTATTAACTGATTTGAAGACAAACTAGAGCTCGAAAGAAGACAACAGACGGCCAGTCAGGGCAACTGAAGTACCGGAGGGCTCTCCAGATGATGGGACACACCTTGCCTGAGGTGAGCAGAGGGGAAGGATCCAGGCAACCTCACTGATGACTTTTCAGTCCAGTCATTAAAAAAATCACGACATAAATGTTACTCCTTTCTGGCATAATCTATTACATTTATCACTTTTTGCTCTATTTTAAGAAGGTCAGGTTTTGCAGCTAGTAGGGTTTTATGAAATTAAATGCCCTTATTCAAAAACACCTCCCATTTAGGGTACTTTTGTGTGCATTATACTTAATTGAAGGCATTTCTCAGAAGAAACAGGATAATAAAGAGTATCACCTGAAGGTATATTACCAACCCCATGATCAGGGAGTCAAATGAAAGGTTTCTAGCAGAAACAAAGGCACATGACTCTCAACCCTAACTGGTCTTTGGTATTTCCCCTGGAGCACAAAGCATTTAACTTTCCCTGTAATTTCTTTTGATAGAAAAATGAATTTTCTTAAACCAGAGACAACTAGACATGCTATTAAACTCCAGCATTTTTAGTGAAAAGCATACAGGGTCTCAAATTTGCCTAATCTTAGGACATCCTACACAGCTTTAAAAAAATCCTTAAACATATAAACAGCTCGATAAATAATAGATTTTAAAAGAGCTCATCATTTTAAAATTTGAATTCCATTTCTTTCGGGCAACATGATCCCTTCAAACACCTTTAAATACAGACTCCCATTTTATTAGGCAAATATACAACCCTTCAAACAGCTTGAAGAGAGAGTCTCTCTGGAGAACAACTGCCCTTCCAAACCATCTGTGTCACATAGGTTTGAAGAAATTCAGGGAATAGAGAAAACCAACCAAGGAATAGCAGAATTATAAGAGATGGGACTATCGATTCATTGGACATAATTCAAACCACTTATTTAATAACACTAATTGCTTTCTGTCAAAACAAATCAAAGAAAGTCGTTTCATATTTCCCCAAAACATGCATTTTGGTTAAGTGAAGCACCCTCCAAAATGACTATCAGCACTCACTTTCGGAACTGGTGAACTGAACCAAGACCCCAGCTTCTGCAACTATCTGTACTCTTGGGCCAACTGAAAATTTTCTCTGGGCCTGAAAATCACAGGGTGATGTTACATGGTCTTAGGGAAGAGTCTACCTAAGCAGGGAACCCCAAATAGCGTAACTTCACAATTCCAGGGCCCAATTTGGCAGAAAGCAAGGTGAACAAAAGAAAGATGGGTCTCTTAGAAGCTGCTGGAAATGAGGTTAGCAAGAAAATGAAATAAGCTCAGAGATGAGATAAGGGGTGAAAACTCCCTGCTCAAACACTGGAGGCAGAATGGTGATGCCAGAGATCTTCAGTCTCCCGCCACCTTGTTAGTGTTCAGACAAACTCAATCAAATACTCTCTTTCTTCAGAAGCTTACTCCTTAATAATACAATCTTCACGGAAACAGAAGGAAATAACGATATACCCTTAACCTGCAAACTGAGAGAAAATGTTCTTACTTCTTCTTCCTGATACCTCGAATCCTCATGGAGATTATTTTCTGTGAATGTTTCTGTTCTAAAACATTTTCTTCCTTATAAGAATAAGAACAGAAATCACAAAAATGGAGTGCCTACAGGGCTTATGAAGGGCTTCCTCAAGAGATAAATATGAACTTTCACGTAAAAACGAATTTTTAAGGATTAGCAAGTAATTCAAAATTTAAAATAATAGTTTGCTAAACAAATCCTACCTGGATGCCTGATTCCAGGTGCCAATTTACGACCTCAAATATTGGAAGAAGAAAATGAGAAACGGCTAATCAAAGAGAAATTACTAGGGGTCTACTCTTGAGTTGTTGGCAAATTCTCGGATCTTCCCTCGTCAAAAAGAACTTTTTCTAGAAGCATTATCACACCAAAAGTCCCTGGCTTTAAAATTTCAGGACATTTTAAGCTTCCAAACATTCTGTCAGACATGAAGATCACTAGAGACAGCCATTTTCCGTGTCAGAGGGCAAAACTAGGGGTCTTTCCCAGATGGTAAGTGTCCAGCTTTAAAAAAGGGGGATTCTAAACCAACACGAGGCTGGTGGAGAAGAAAACTCCAAGGACAGAAATGCAGTGAAACAGAAAGGAACAGAGATCATCTGATCGAGCCAGTATTTGCAGCCTGTAGGTAGTGCCAAATATTTCAGGAAATGCCAATGTCTTTCTTTGTAAAGCAAGGCCAAATTTAGTATTTAAACACAGCATATATCACTGGGAAGAATAAGGCAAATCCTTACATCCTCACTCTCTTTTAACAGAGAATCTTAAAGATTCACGGCCAGTGTCGAACTCCCTTTCCCCCATTCAAAAATCGTTTCCTTAATGTTTCAAAGCCAGTGTTTCTGAGAAGTTTCTGGCCAATCTTCTGTTGACAGCTAATAATGGCAATCCAGAGTGAATTAGCAGTGGCCCCCATAGGACTCATCTTCACTGCTTTTCCTCAGTGCCCACTGGTGCGCTAGATGTCAACCCATGGACCCCCAACCACTTCTCTGACTCAGCAAAGTGAACTCTTCCTTCTGAGCTGGAATGAGGAAGTATGGGCAGGACAGAGAGAAACAGCCCAAACCCCACCCTCCTCATCAAGAATGGTACCTGTTTGCCTCCTACCGTGTTGGTGGAAATACAAACTGGTGCAGCCACTCTGGAGACCAGTATGGAGGTTCCTCAAAAAGTTAAAGATAGAACTACTCTACAATCCAGCAACAGAACTACTAGGTATTTACCCAAAGGATACTAAAATCCTGATTCTGAAGGACACGTGCACCCTGATGTTTTATAGCAATATTATCAACAATTGCCAGTTTATGGAGCGAGCCTAAATGTCCATCGACAGGTGAATGGATAAAGAAGTGTTGGTATATGCATGCAATGGAATATTACTCAGCCATAAAAAAGAATGAAATCTTGTCATTTGCATCGACCTGGATGGAGCTAGAGTATTATGCTAAGTGAAACAATTCAGTCAGAGAAGGACAAATAGCATATGATTCCACTCATATGTGGAATTTAAGGAAGAAAACAGATGAACACAGAGGGGAAAACAAAGGAGCGGTAAACCAGAAAACAGACTCTCTAATTATAGAGAACAAACTGAGGGTTGCTGGAGGGGATGGGGGGGGGGGGGGTGAGGGGAATGGGTTAAATGGATGATGGGTATTAAGGAGGGTTCTTGTTTAGATGAGTAGTGGGTGTTGTAAATGAGGAATCACTAGATTATACACCTGAAGCTAATGTTACACTTTATGTTAACTAACTGGAATTCAAATAAAAACTTGAAAGAAAGGCAAAAAAAAAAAGAATGGTACCTGTTCGGGCTTCAGTCCCGGTGGGATCCAGGCGTACTCCTCCAAGGCGCAGCCCGAGTCGTCGTCTGACGTGGAATTCCTCTGGAAGTCAAACATGAGTTTGCTGACAGTCTTCTCCATCTCTAGGGGCATCACTGTCACCATGTGCTCCTCCTGAGGGCACTTGCAGTGCAGGCAGATCTTCCTGCAAACAGCAAAAACGGGAGGTGAGAAGGAAGGCAAAAGAAACTATTGTTCAACTGGCCCTCGGGTCCTAAACCATAAACACATTCCTGGGCAACTGCCTTTTGGCAGGATCGCCTAAAGCGGCACCCCACAGCCCGCCTGTCTTCTTGGAAGGTGTGGAGCTGCATGCGTGGAAACGTCACGGAAGGTCAGAGGCCACCAGGTAAGCCTCATGAGAATGTTCGAATGTGGACTCCAACCTGTTCTTCCAAATCAATATCCTAAGAGCAACGTCAAATATATTTAACTAGACAGAGCATGGGCTATGGACCATGACTGCAATTTTCTTGACCATAATAGTTATTAAACAGACATAATACATATGCTGACTAGAAACATTACCAGTGGACTTAACAAATATTGACAACATACCATTTTCATAAAAGCTTCCTAGCAGCTAAGGAAATGGAAGCATTTTTAAAGAGACCTGCAGGTGAGGTTTTCTTTCAGAAAAAGAGCAAGAATATGTTTTCCCACCAAACAAATTTGGCCCCAAGATCTCATGGGAAAGACATTTTCACCTCTACGAAATATCCCCATAGGTTTGAAATTCTAATCAAAAACCCAAATTTTTCCTACATTGATTGGTTGTTTTTTATTTCTTTTTTAAATATACAGTAGGAGAGGATCATGCATGTGAATTATTTCAAAAGGTAGCAGCCAAAGATAAAATCTCTCCCCAAAGTTGAACATTTCTCTTTTAAGGTTACCATCTGTTCCCTTTTCCATGGCTACAAAAATGATGAAGCAGTAAAAAGGTTGATGTCAGCAGCACAAAAGCATTTCTAGCTTCTACCAGTAAAAAAGAGAAGAAAAAGAAATCAAGGAGGAAAATTTTTAGAAAACGAGCTGTTCTCTGTGGTACTCAGATCTTCATGATTAGTTTCAACAGCATCTTATCCAGGCAATGAGAGGGTCCAGAATCCTAATCCCCACATGTGCCTAATTTTTTTGACAACAGCTTTGTTAAGATAGAATTCCCATATCCAAAAGGTCACCATTTTAAAATGTACAAATCACTGGCTTTTAGTGCATTCACAGAGTTGTGAAACCATCACCACTACTTAATGCTAGAATGTTTTAATCACCCCAAAAGAAACCCAGGGCACATTGGCAGTGACTTTCCACATTCCCCTTCCCCCCAGGCCCTGACAACCACTAATCTATTTTTTGTCTCTATGGCTTTGCCTGTTCTAAATTCCATATGTATGGCATCATGTAATACATAGTTTTTTGAAACTGGCTTTTTTTGCACTGTAGGATGTTTCCAAGATTAATCCATGTTGTATCATGTGACAATCCTTCCTTCCCTTTTACTGCATTGTAATATTCCAGAGTATGGTTAAGTTACATTTTGTCCATCCATTCTTGAGGTGAACATTTGGATTATTTCCATTATTTTTACTTTTGCGAATACTACTGCTGTAAATATTTATATACAAGTATTTTTGTGTGAACATAGGTTTTCAGTTCTCTGGGCTATACACCCAGGAGCAGAACTGCTAGGTCATATGGTAACTTTATGTTTCACGTGCTGGGGAACTGTCAAACTGTTTTTCAGAAATAGATGCACTGTTTTACATTCCCACCATTAATATATGAGTGTTTTATTTTCAATACATCATTCCCACACTTTTTAGTATCTTTCCACTGTTTCCATCCTAGTGGGAATGGAATGGCATCTTTTTGTGGTTTTGATTCTTACTTCCTTAATAGCTAAGGACACTGAGCATTTTTCTAGGTGCTTATTATATATCCTCATTGGAGAAATGTCTGTTTGAACTCTTAGTCCATTATTAAAATTGTTATTTGTCTTTCTATTGTAGAATTATAAGCATTCTTTATATGTATTTCTGAATACAAGTCCTTTATCAGAAATAGAATTTGTAAAAATATTCTCCCATTCGGAGAAGATATTTGCAAATGACATATCGGATAAAGGGCTAGTGTCCAGAATCTATAAAGAACTTAGCAAACTCAACACCCAAAGAACAAATAATCCAATCAAGAAATGGGCAGAAGACATGAACAGACATTTCTGCAAGGAAGACATCCAGATGGCCAACAGACACATGAAAAAGTGCTCCACATCACTCGGCATCAGGGAAATACAAATCAAAACCACAATGAGATACCACCTCACACCAGTCAGAATGGCTAAAATTAACAAGTCAGGAGATGACAGATGCTGGCGAGGATGCGGAGAAAGGGGAACCCTCCTACACTGTTGGTGGGAATGCAGGCTGGTGCAGCCACTCTGGAAAACAGCATGGAGGTTCCTCAAAATGTTGAAAATAGAGCTACCCTATGACCCAGCAATTGCACTGCTGGGTATTTACCCTAAAGATACAAACGTAGTGATCCGAAGGGGCACGTGCACCCGAATGTTTATAGCAGCAATGTCTACAATAGCCAAACTATGGAAAGAACCTAGATGTCCATCAACAGACGAATGGATAAAGAAGATGTGGTATATATACACAATGGAATACTATGCAGCCATCAAAAGAAATGAAATCTTGCCTTTTGCGACGACGTGGATGGAACTAGAGGGTATCATGCTTAGCGAAATAAGTCAATCGGAGAAAGACAACTATCATATGATCTCCCTGATATGAGGGAGAGGAGCTGCAACATGGGGGGTTAAGGGGGTAGGAGAAGAGTAAATGAAACAAGATGGGATTGGGAGGGAGACAAACCATAAGTGACTCTTAATCTCACAAAACAAACTGAGGGTTAATGGGGGGGTGTGGGGGGTTGGGATTATGGACATTGGGGAGGGTATGTGCTATGGTGAGTGCTGTGAAGTGTGTAAACCTGGCGATTCACAGACCTGTACCCCTGGGGATAAAAAGATATTATATGTTTATGAAAAATAAAATTTTAAATAAAAAAAAACAAAAAACTCTAGGAAAAAAAAAAAATATTCTCCCATTCTCCGGGTGGTATTTTTTTTTTTAATTGGATAAACACTTCCAAATTTGTTCTTTTTTTCTTTTTTTAAACACAGGCCTTTGGGATTTTAATTAATTAATTAGTTACTTATTTTTATTGGAGGAGGGCAGAGAAAGAGAGGAAGAAAGAAAAACTTAAGGAGGCTCCATGCCAACATGAAGCCTGATGTAGGAGGGCTTGATCTCACAATCCTGGGATCGTGACCTGAGCCAAAATCAAGAGTCGGATGCTTAATTGACTGAGCTACTCAGGCGTCCCCAGTTTTCACTTTCTTGATGATGACTATTAAAGCACAAAAGTTTCTTATTTTGATAAAGTCCCATTTTTCTTCCATTATTGCTTGTTCTTTTGGTATCTTATCTAAGAAACCACTGTCTAACTCGAAGTCAAAAAATTTACTCCTATGTTTTCATCTAAGATGTTTATGGCTTTAGCTCTTATATTTGGGTCTATGTTCCATTTTGAGCTAGTTTTCATGCATGGTGTCAGGAAGGAGTCCAACTTCATACTCATGTAGTTATTCAACTGTCTTAGCATCATTTGTTAAAAAGTCTGTTCTTTCTTCATTGGGTTGTCTTAGCATCCATATCAAAAATCAGCTGATCATAAATGCAATGGTTTATTTCTGGATTCTCAGTTCTATTCCATTGAGTTATCTGTCTGCCTTACGCAATTATGACTCTGTCTTGATCACTGTAGTTTTGCAGCAGGTTTTGAAATTGTGAATGCTGAGTCCTCCAACTTTGTCCTCCTTTAAAAAAAAAAAAAATGTGATAGCTTTCCCGGGTCCCTGGCATTTGCATCATGAAATACAAATTTTAGGACGAGCCTGCCATTTTCTGCAAAAATCCTAGCTGGAATATCAACAGGAATTGCACTGAATCTAGAGATCAATTTGGAGAACATTGCTATCTTAATACGAGATCTTCCAATCCATGAACAAAGGATGTCTTCACATTTATTTCAGTCTATTTCAATTTCTTTCAGTGCTATTTTGTGTTTCTCCGTCACAAGTCTCACATATTTTTTTAAGTTTATTCCCAAGTATTTTATTCTTTTGGATGCTATTTAAATGGAATTGTTTTGCTTAATTTCATTTTCAGATTATTACAGTACAGAAACACCAGTAGTACAGGCACATTCATCTTGCACCATACAATCTTGTTGAACTTGTCTTTTCAGTTTTAAGAGCACGACGTGTGTGTGTGTGTGCGTGTGTGTGTGTGTATTCCTCAGCATATCCTGTATATAAGATCATGTCATCTGTAAACAGAGACAGTGTTATTCTTTCTTTTCCAGTTTGATACCTTTTATGTCTTTGTCTTGCCTTATTGCCCTGGCTGGAACCTCCAGCACCATGGTCAACAGAAGTGTCAGTGGTAGACATCTTGGTTTTGGTCTTGATCTTAAGGAAAAACATCCAATCTTCTACCATCAAGTATTATTTAGCTGTGGGCTTTTTACAGCTTTTACCAAGTTGAAGAAGATTCTTTCTACACTAGTTTGTTGAGTGTTGTTGTTGTTTTTATCACTAAAAGGTGTTGGGTTTTGTCAAATGCTTTTTTCCATCCATTAAGATAATCAGTTGGTTTCTGTCCTTACTCTATGAATGTCTTGTGCCTACATTTTGACACCAAAATGTACTCAAGAAACAAAAGTGGTTTAGTTCAGCCAACTTGGGCTTGATAGATTCTCCCACTTCCTGCTTTTCATCAGATTGAAAATATACACAGATAGAATGCACACTTGGATCTGGTTTGCATCTCCAAACTCAAAGAGGTTTCTTCCCAACCCAGGCTGCTGCTTTTAAAAAAAGAGCCCATTTTAACAGTAACTCTTTAATTAACCAGCTACTGTAAAGAAGTCAAGGGTGTTAGGAAGTGGCTGGGGATTTTTCCCTCCAGTTATTTTTACATCAGTTAATGACTTAAGGGGCAAAAAAACAAAACAAAACAAAACAACAACAACAAAAAACACAC